TTAATAATTGAAAAGATAATTAATTTGAACTGAATTCGTTAATCATTTTATATATATAATACCAGCCGTCAACCCGTGTCTCAATAGTGTATAGGAAAGTACTAAGTAGTCCTCAAAATATATATATAAAAAACACCCTGATATAGTAAAAACTATCCCGTATGTTAGCCAAAGAAAACTGAAATTAAATTAAATCTTAGACTATACAAAAAAAACAAATAATCAAATGTTTAACAGTTGTACCAACTTGGATTTTCTTAGAACCCGTTGGATTTTCTTGTGTTCTTCGTTTGTAAATTGCCATATAGGCTACAACGTATATAAATTACTAATTTATTTGCAATCTTTATTCAATTGCGTTACATTAGCTGAATGTTAAATCAGCTTTTAGTTTAACCGGTTAAAACAAATTACTGAAACAAACGTAAAATGTTACAGTTGGCTGCTATACTTAAAGAAAATTAAATTGATTATATTATGGTATGGATAAATTACCACGACATACATGTTATCTTTATCCAAATGCTGAATTCATCTCACATACTCTAGGCTGAGTGTTTGCAGCAGTTTAGTTTGCAAATACAAAAAAAATTATTCAAATTTAATTTCCAAATAACTGAAACTAAAGTTAGCCTATAATATGTGCTTTGACATTCTAATTAAACTCACTCCAATCTATACTAAATGAAAAAAATCATTGTAAACGATTAAAACTGGCCACTCTACTTGAAAAACAGACCTGTTCAAATTCCGTAATGATTATTATGAATTTATGTGGTGAATTATGTGGAGTTTTACTGTGAGAATTCATTTATTCATTCTCTTCTTAACTCATAATTATCTCTATTTCAAAAGTAAAATCATAAAAATCTGTTAATTGGTTGATTCAGAATCATTGGGCAAAAACCGTCTTCACATTTTAACATAGTACTGTATTAGTTATCTTCAGATATTAATCAAATGTAAAAAATAGCTTGAAAATATACCATTGACCAATTTTTTACACAATTATATACCGAGTTAGGGTTCTGAGTTAACACTAATAACATTTGTAAACCCAATATTCTAGTATAGTTAACTAGTTCCGTTAAAAGCATTTTCCCGGGTTAAACAATCATCAAGCACAGAGTTCAATCCTTCGTGTTGAGCTATCCTTGTTAATTATTGTAATTGACGTTTCAGTTATGTTACTCATGACATCTGATAGGTGTCCTAGATCATTCATTTGGACTCAACCAGATAAACATTATTATCAACCTGCTAATTATACGTTCTAACCTTAATGGGTTTCTTTGTAGGATAAAGTGAGAAGGTATGTGTAATTTTTCTCGAACAGTTTAATGAAATTTTCTCTATCAAGAGCTGTTCAAAATACCAGTTTAACTTGCCAGTGAGTAAACACGCCAAGCCAATCCAATCACAGAAAGGTTCAAATACGTAGGGCATGTCATTCATGTGTCACGAACAGGTAACAGAAATAATATAAAGCGATAACAAATACAGATGTGTGTTTATCAAGCCTGGTGGGGTTGGTGCATTAACATTTATAAAATGTCAGTTAGATAATGTGACTGAATTTGATTGTTTTTGCTGAGGTGGAAAGCTCTTAAAACTGATTTATCAACATTATCATGTGAATATGATCACATCCAAAATATAAAAAATAACTCATATAAATTTAAAGTATCTAATTTGTAAAAGAACATTTTATAGAATTTGATTAGAAAATCGTCTTATGTTAAAAGGATGAAAAATCTTTCAGAAGAAGTATCAAAGAAAACAGAATGCTTAAGGCCCTTGGCAAATATGATGTTGTTCTTTGTTTACAAAAAGAAGTCTCCTTCAAAGGATCCTTGTTTTTGATTATGTTTATTTTGTTCGACATAAAACACCGGGAACGAATATATATTTATTTCTAAGTTAGGACTCTTAACTCACTTATAATCAAGGTTTAATATATTTATTAAATTAGTTGATACTTCAAATTAAAACGTGGGGTAAATAAGAGCCCCCGTATTACAATATTAACTCCAAATTATCATATTAAATTTAAAAATCAACATCACTTAATTTTACTAGACAATGTTTGACTGAAAACGAACCTAGCAAATCATTTGTACTGTTTGTATTGGAGAAGGTTACTTTACGACGTAAATGTAAACAGATTCTCTAGTAACGCAAACATTAACATATTAAGAACACATACAACGTTATTAAAAGGATTTCTTTCTAGTAAGCCATGCATAACATTTATCTCATATAGTTTATTATGTTATTAAGACGTATCAACATTTAAAAATATCACCGCAGTAGCAACCCTAGAGACTGAGCAAATTTCCATTTGCCTGATTGGATTTTCATTAAAATATCTCCTTCAAAATTTAATATTTATTCCCTATTTTAATAGAATTAGTTTAAAGAGCTCTTAGGTTTGCTGCTACAGAGAAGATAATAAAGTTTGTATAGTTAATTGTTCATTGTATATTATTCATTATGATTCTTGGTTGGAATATATTATCGATCAAATAAAATTAGCTTATCCAACCTCAGTTGATTTAACTTAACTTTACTGTTCTGTTCTGTTCTGTGTTGTTTACTTTACTGTGTTGTGTGTTAGTATGACTAGTTTCGTTACTTAGAACTTCATCAGTCCTTTTGTATGCAACCACATCAATGTATTGTACAATACGTATATGTATTGTACAATACATTGTGGTGTGCCAATATCTCATTGTGATGTGAAAAATATTTAACATCCAAAAGTAGCAAACCAAAATCCAATGATTGGTAATGCAATAATGCAATATCCTCAATGTCGTTATTAGTACATCACTCATATCTTGTCACAATCATTGAACCACATAACTGGTAGTTTAACACAGCATGCAACTGAACAAGCAATAATAAATTCTACCCGTAAATAGATTAACTCAGGCTGTACATGGCAACTAATTGGTTTATGACCGCCAGGGACTCATATTAATTAATTAGCGAATTCCAACTTAATTCGATTGCCAACGGCTATTCGTTAGTTTCAGCGTAAAATGCATTTATCACAAAACATCTAGTTTATTCGTTACACATATTGACGATTAAGTATGGACACTAGGACACTCACTCAATATGTTTTGGCTGTAACCAAGAAAATTAAAGAAACCCTAGTGGAATCAGGTAATTTTGATTGGGGAAATGTTGAAGTTCCATTTTACTTCAAGTTCTTCGTATTAGGTTAGTTAATGGGTATGTAGAAGATCCTTAAGAACAATTTCCTCATTTTCTTTTGAATTATTAAAGTAATAAAATGTGTGTCTAAAAAAGAAAAACTGTTTTAACAACTGAAATGTGACGAGACTTTTGTATGATGGAAAATAAGTTTACCATTCGTAACATATACCAATTAAATTAGTTCAGGTACCAATTAAATTTTAACTATCTATAATAGTTATTTTTAAATTTTCAGTTGCAAATGTTACCAGATATATGGTGAATTATGATTACTATACCATTTTTAGTTTGTGTACGACTTTAAAAACTTTATTGAAAATAACATGAAATTTTCAACACAATATGTTGCGTTGAATGAAATTATATTAATTCCAGTCCCAGACAAAGACAGTTTATTACTTTTAGTCGTAATCAGCAGAAAAGCCGGGACATCCCTTTGATGTATTCAGCGCTTTCCCAAGCAGTATTTCATGCCACACACTATTTCAAAGTGCTTTGCCAAGCTTCCAGTTTGCAAACATTATTTCTCTCGCACGGGAGCCGGTGTTTATAATACACCGCACTTATTGAATATAACCTACATTTCAGACATATTTAGCCTTCAAACAAGTTTATGCTAGAAGACAAGGTTAGCATACAAATTTGGCTGGTGAAAGAAAATAAATGTATAAGAAAATGTCTTTGAATACATTCTTCGAAAAGTAATTATACTATGGGAAACCAAAGAAAGTCATTATCCTTTTATTGATTTAGAATAAATTCAGCTTGGTTATTTAAAAAAATACTTGGTTTTAGTACTTTCGTATTACGATTGACTTTAGAATTACTGCCCAAAATCTGACTAATGATTTTTAATACTTAAACGTGTGATTACGCTCAGTTGTAGCCTAAATTTAAACGCGCTTAAGAGAAAGGACCATTTTTTATTTTTTTATTGTTAGACATACTAATGTTACAATATTATTTATTTAACAATACTATTAAAATTATGTAATACACCTCTGTAAGCCTAGTTACACTAAGTATTATTACAATTTAAACCCGTTTTCTTGTAGCTTTCCACTATAAGAAGGCAGGACTAAAACTGTGTGCTATGTGGCATGAAATTGACCACCCAGCTTAAAGGCAGCCTGAGGCCAGGGTTTAATGCAAACGACTTTGGAACTTTGAAACTTTTAGAAAATTGATTACTGTTTTGCCAGTTGATTGCTTAGCTTCTCAATAATGTAACAGCTTTTGCGTTCATTAAATATTAAAAAGTAATTTTAATATTTAAAGTGTTAATGTACACACTGTTGGGAGTTTTAATAGGAAAAAAATCTACATAGTATTAAGATTTTATTTCTTATCATTAAATAACAGCGACAGCAATTTTTTAGCCTCAGGTATTATTAGAAATCGTTAAACATATAATTCATTGTATTGATAATTGAAACATTTCACATTGAGTAAATGTAATGATCAAATTATTATTAGTGGTTCTTGTGGTACTAGTGGTTGGTTTCGGAAATGTACACATGGTTCCTTTTCCCTCTGAGCTGTTAGCTTGGTTAGATGGTAACCAAAGCACCACCTGATGACACTTAAATACTAATTTTGACTTACTAAAAAAATAACTAAACAACTTTAGCCGTTACACTGTAGCCAGCCGTTTTGCTTGAGCACTTACAAATTCACTTGATTAGTTACAACTAATACAAGAAAAAAAAATAAAGCCAGACTTTTTACAGAGGAACTGAACTAAAAAAGAATGTAAATCAAAACTGTATACTCACAGATGACACAGACTTGGTGGGCCGATGGTAGCGGACTTTCTTGAGATAGACAGTGTAAACGGCACCATCCACTCTTTCTTCCTCCCACAATCTCCAGGTAGGCTGCTGTAAACACAAACCAAACGTAAATATTGTATAAACTATTTATCAACTTGTCTACTTAAAGTATAAACACATGAACACACCTCTTGCTGGCTATAACCAAACGCTAATTACTAATAGTTTTCTGGAGCGTCTACCAGTGTACAAAACCTCAAAAACAATCCATTACGATTTAAAAACTGATTTTGGTGGATCAGTTGAATATCACGACATAATATAACCAAGGCAGCGATGTCTTGTGTTTATGTTCCAGTTCTCCGTAAAAAAATGTAACAATACAGTTAACTTTTGAACTTTACCGGCTCACATTGTGAGTTTTGTTTGATAATTGTAATAAATAAGTGTTTGAGGTGAGCCCCAACCATTTAAACAAAATAAAAGGAAACATTGCCTGGACTTGTACGATTAATGTGTACCAAGTCAATTAAATAGTGTACAGTATAAGTTGCGGCTCTGAATCTAGATTTTCAACCAGATTTTGGAAATTTTCCATCATAACAAGTATTTTATTATTACTGTTTCTCCTAACAGTCTAAAATAATACCTCTGAGCTATGCTCTCTCATTTAAAACCAACAGTGCTGAAATCTGAGAAAGAGTTTTGAATTTTTACCCGCATTAATTACTACCTACAATCACTTTGTTGAATATTGTAATAACTGTAATAAAATCCATGCATTTTAAAAGCCAACGTCAATTTATATCCATACGTTTTCTGCAAACTCATTATTGAATAAGGAAATACTATCAAACTTACACCCCTCCAAAAAAGATCAAATTAATTAGCAAGAAAAAAATCAAAATCCGCGAATAGTTGGACCAAAAATATACACACTATGTAGAATTAGAGACTGAATAAATTGAAATGTTTATAGAACTTAACACTCATTACTGCATGCTTCCGATCCTGAGAAAACAACGCACATGATCCAATTTCTTTTATGACAAAGTACACACGTAATTGGTTTCTCATGTCACCAGCGGAGTGTGACAAACGACAGTATCTTTCATAACTCACGGACGTCTCTATGTAAAAGAATAGAGGAATGAAGCGGATGTCTCTATGTAAAAGAATAGAAGAATGAAGCGGATGTCTCTATGTAAAAGAATAGAAGAATGAAGCGGATGTCTCTATGTAAAAGAATAGAGGAATGAAGCGGATGTCTCTATGTAAAAGAATAGAAGAATGAAGCGGATGTCTCTATGTAAAAGAATAGAAGAATGAAGCGGATGTCTCTATGTAAAAGAATAGAGGAATGAAGCGGATGTCTCTATGTAAAAGAATAGAGGAATGAAGCGGATGTCTCTATGTAAAAGAATAGAGGAATGAAGCGGATGTCTCTATGTAAAAGAATAGAAGAATGAAGCGGATGTCTCTATGTAAAAGAATAGAAGAATGAAGCGGATGTCTCTATGTAAAAGAATAGAGGAATGAAGCGGATGTCTCTATGTAAAATAATAGAAGAATGAAGCGGATGTCTCTATGTAAAAGAATAGAAGAATGAAGCAGATGTCTCTATGTAAAAGAATAGAAGAATGAAGCGGATGTCTCTATGTAAAAGAATAGAGGAATGAAGCGGATGTCTCTATGTAAAAGAATAGAGGAATGAAGCGGATGTCTCTATGTAAAAGAACAGAGGAATGAAGTATCTTCGTAATAAAAAAATTACAACACTCCAACACACTAACATAGTATTTTTCTGTAGCAGTGCATAACAATCTCATTTTAATAAATTTGTAATATTTTCTATGCTAGAATGAAGTTAACACATAAAAAATACTGTATGAGTTATTTTTGTGCGTATTTAAATACTGTATTGTATGAATTATTGCTACATGATCGCTCAAAATATGTCTATCAAAGTGATAATTACCTGTGTGACATTTTGTTTAAACTAGTCTGATACTCGTGATTCTTTATAAAAACTTGTATGATTTACTTACAACACTATATGCTAAATAAATACGTAGATAGTAAAGCATAAGACTCGTTAATGTGTATTCAATTTAGAAATAATCGATTTTAGATTAAATAGTATAAATACCCTGAAGTTGTTGTTTAATTTAAAAAGCAAAGCTCACAAGTTCATGGTGAATCAAGTTGTTTACAACTTTCCATAAAAACAGTTTTTTTATAATAGAATAATTCAATTGTATAACTCAAACAGCAAATTCAAAATTACTACTCTAAAAAATTAATAAAATAAGAATGGTTAGAAAAAGTTTTAAACACAGAGGTTTTATCTTTATCTACAACATACAAAAAAATCTTACAAAATAGAATATACAAATTAGTATTCTACTTATTTATCCAACCTGCGTTCATACCTTTTGCAGTCTATAAGGAATAAGTAGAACAATATGAAGTCATTATTTATATTTACAAACAATAGATATTCTCCACTTCAAGAAATAGAACTGTCAATGACAAAACTTAATCATAGATCTGATTTTTTTCCATTTGTCCTCTCACACCAGACACATTTGCCCTCTTTGTACAAACTGTGTTCTACGTAAAGATTTTGACGAGTTGTATTTTCCAAAGCATCAACAGACTTCTCATTTTCTCGATGAATATAAACAGCAATATCGCTCAGAGGAAAGTCTAAGGGGCGAAATGAAAAGCCATCTTCGGACTCCCTACGGAACTGTAAATTTGTTTCGCGGAAAAAAAGCGAAGTCTCAGTAGGACGCTGATCCATCAAGCTAAAACTCCCCTCTACCATGATACGGTATAGGACTTTTAACAAAAAAATCTCTTAAATTACAAAATTTAAAACAAAATTGTTAGATTTTTAGAAAAATTCTAATTGGTGTTACAAAACGTTTCATTTTTAATTCAGTAACTAATTTTAATCTACAAACAAAATTACACTTTCTTTATAATAATGATCTATAGTAAATTCATCTTTCAATAACAGCCTAAGTAAATTCCATTAATTTTTTTAATTTGCATGAAAAAAGGTGCATAACATGATGAATTTTAACTTCAAACATCCCGATAAATTACATTCAACGTGTACTTCAATTTGGTAAGAAGAATACTAGTTTTATGGATTTAAGCTAAAAGTATACAACGCAATACAGACAGTGTTTTTATGATGATGTAGCTTAAAAAGTTGATTCAAATGTCAACAAAACCCTAAGAATATGCATAAGTTATTTTTAACTAGGCTATAAAACATACTGTATCATAACTAAAACAAGAGTGGATTTTGAATTTTAGAGACCCTAAAATGAAAAAAAAATATTGTAATGTAGTGGTCATAGGCAAGATTTTTTTAGATTTCAAACAGATTTTTTGCAAAATATTCCAAATTTATAGAGTATTTTATTAACTTGGTTTGAAAAGAATCACACTCGATAAAACATGTGAAGTGTCATAAAAACATTAAAAACCTTTGTTTGGTGCCAATCAAAACGTACAAGTCCTATTGAATACAATCTTGAACAGGATGTGTATGATAATTTCCCATAATCCATCAATACATTAACAAGAGCAGTAATAGAGTCAAAGACAATGTCAACAGTTCGCCGCAAATGGAGTAGGTTATGACGCACATACTCACTAATGTTTGTGTAGTTTGTGTGACAAATGTGTCAACAAGTGTTAAAAGTCTCTGTACACTTTATATTGTTTACATTCAACACTAGAAAAGAAAACTGTCACAGAAAGTTTGAGCAAGGAAATGCAGTTCACGTATGGGCATAACTCATTATGTAACACCTAGAGTCAACTAAATAGTATATTTTCAGTGGCAACAGGTGTATACTGTAATTGATACAGCAAACCTGCTAACTAACCAATTTACAAGGTTTTGTCGAATTTTCTGTTGGAGAATTTAAAAAAGAATATAATATAACAGCGCAAATTTATACTTGCACACATATAAATAATAGATAATGAGTATATTTATTCTTGGGTTTGCTGCTGTGGCAAACACACCGATTAACACACTTAACTACTCATTGAGCTAATGCCACTTTTGTAACAAAAGTAAAATATTGTTTAGCTTAATATATCACTTAACAAAGAATAAGTATAATTTAACATTATGTCACTTCTAAAAAGTGTAAATAAAATTGTCTTTTATTTAAACGTGTAAAAAAGTAATTAGAAATTTAATATTCTGCACGTTTGATTCTACAGGGAAAATAGTTATTTGTGCAACTAGTGAGCAAATTTCTCTCGAGTGAGGCAATTGCACTTTGCACTCGAGTTGCACATTATACTTTTCCTACAGTTACAACAAAACAAGCATATTAGTAAAGAAACGTGACATATTTTTACACAGAAGTGAACTTTTAATATGACATTTAATGATCAACACGATCAACAACAGTACAACAGCTGACCAGCTGATTTACAACCATTGCTGCCAACGTATTTCGCGCGCATACGACCTTGTCTGCATGATACGCGCTCACTATTTCGTGCCTTCACGTTGCAAATCTGGAGTGAGACAAAGTAATTAGAGTGAGACAATGTTAATATTGTCTCCAATGTTAATATTGTCTCACTGATGAGCGAATTGGCCACTTTGCTCTCTCAAATGAATGAGAGAACATGTACATTGTTAGGTAACTGTAGGAAAAATACATAATTACTAAATTATTGCAACAACTATTATAATCAAACCAATAATCAAGACCCATGAGTAAAGTAAGTAGTCTATTACAGTAGGGGCTAAAAATAAATAACTACTGCAGTGGATCAGATTTAAAAGCTTGGCATTATATTTTCCTTTACATACCAGATATAGATAACCAATTGTGCTATAATTTCATTCTGGAATGTAATGCAATATCTTCCTATTTAAAATAAACTCTAGGTTTTCATTGTATTTATTTCAAGTTTTTGGTTGTTTTTAACCGTGTAAAAACGAATAAAAAGTGCAATATGTATATAATGGACGAACTAAAACTTTTCTTCAAATAATAAGAAAAAAAAATTGGCAACCTTGAGCTTTGTCTACTGGCAAAGCTAAGCAGCTGTGGAAATTG